AAACTACGCCATACAGCAAGCCTTGGGGTAATACACCAGGTTGGTTTGGCCTTGGTCCGACCTTCATTCCTGACCCTAGTTCAGTGTAATTTGTTCATTTTATTATTGTGTTGCCTAAGAAAGAATCTCAGGGACGCATGGACTTGTCTAACACTTCGTTGTTGCACCAGATCGAACAATTTCCAGGAAACTGACTTTATTAAAATTATTAAAATTAATGGCCTGACTGACCTGCCGTAGGTCAGCGATCTTGCAGGGTGCATCTAGCTTCGTGATGCCAAATTATCTGCTATTCAGTTTTCTACAGCTATGCGAGATTTGGCGTGGCTGCGCCGCGCTGTTCGGAAACCATTCTGGAAAAACCTTTTGGGGTCAAATTGACCCCACCCGAGTGCGTATTTTAAGAGCTGACTGTGGGTTATCGAACGGTATAGAAACAATGGATTTGGCCAGCAGCGCCTATTTATTTGGCACGACCCACTCACGTGTTATTACGGAATACTGACAACCGTACGCCGCTTGTCGAAACGAAAATACCAAAACGGTCCAAAGATGTCTTCACTTGCGTTTGGAGGGCGTCTTATTCGCATCCTCTGGCATCGCCTGGATGCAGTCGGCTGGCGACGTAATATCGTGCTTGGCTAGTGTCATATATATGCTTGATAAGGATATAGATGATAAGACCCCCGTATTACTGAATGTGGAAGGACAGCCTGGGAGTGATAAGATGAAACTATGACAGCGTTTTGAACAAAGTTATGATCGCGTTCGGACAATGGGACCCACCGTATCACTGCCCCAGAGCTTTTAAACGACACCGAAACATCTAGCTCGGGCCTCGGGGCCTATTTCTTCGCTATGACCCCGTGGTGGTGTATTGCTGAAGGCGGATGGCCTGCAAGTGTTTGTCGAGACGAAACTTGGGCAGCGTTTTAGAAGCATTTCTAATCCCGAGCGGAAGGCGAGTGCCAGTTGGATGGCACTCGCTGAGGGCCGTCAATTGGCACCGTGACAGTAAGCTCCCGCGGGAGCACCAATGAGATCGATGTGACCCCGACGGCATATAACAGTATGCAGGCGGCCGTCCAGACCGTAAAGACGAGACTACGGTAACGTTATACAATCCTACATTCGTGCGATGAAGTGGAGCTGTGCGCGTTTTACAGCATTTGCAAAGGATTATCGACTGCTACTGTAGCATTCCCCGTTTGGTGTCTGTTTGATTCATATGCCGGAGTTCTTATGCTGAAATGATCGACGTTCAATACACCAGCAGGTGCTGGTTACCTCACGCTTTCATTTTACTTTGCTTTAAATTTCGATATTACCGGATGTTTTGTCTTATGATGTGCGTATTTACATTGTTCAATTTATTTGGGTTTCCATTTTATGCTCTAGCACCAGCCGGTCAGCCGAGTCTTTTCCCTCCGGCACAGAAGACCCTTGGCTGTGGCGCATTATCGTGGTCCCGATGTTTCCATGTGGGAGCGCAAAGCTGCTTTGGCCACAGAGGATATTGAGTGTGAGGAGGTCTGGCAGGTGTTTGCCTGAAAAAAAAAACAGTTGTTTGTCGTGGCGCGTGCACAACTCAGCCCTTCTCAGCGCCCTGCATGTCCCGCCAGTGAAGGAGGAGATTTTATTTGCCGTGCTCAGAAAGTTCTACGGCATGTTTCGCTCTTCACATCGCTTAGACCGAGCCCCTTTGAGGGCTTCAGCCCTGCTTGCCTACCGCCCGGATGAGTTTGATACAATCTTTGCCGGATCCGCGTTTTTCCTCTGCGGTTAAGGTTGGGGTTGGCTCATAATCCTGGCCCGCGGGCGGGTAGACCGCTGCCTGCTTTCTCCAGTGCGGCCAGTGTCGTGTGGCTGGGCCACTTAGATAGCTCTTGACGAGGCGAGAGGTCGACCGACCGAGAGGCTAGAAGACAAGAACACCTTTTGGGGGGATAGGTGAGGCGTGCATGCATATCGAAGGTCTGTAATGTGTAAGTCCATAATTGTGTTTTTCATTATATGTTATCAGGAAAAATCTTAAAAATGGAACAGTAATTTGCTGACACATTCTTTGCCGTTGTATTAACTGTGCGGGCTCATTGCATAGCTCATCAAACATTGCACATTTCTGCCCACTTGAAGGCCCATTTTTTACTGTGACGCGGAGAGGTGTTCGAAAAGCTGGCTATGGATGTCTATCAAGGTAGTCCATTGATATGGTCACTTCCTGTTAATGCCATTTGTTTGTTTTATAACGATGATGAAGTCAAAGAATGTATGCTTTTAACAAGATAATTTTGGTATCTGTTTTACCGTTCGCTTTGGGGTCATTTTTAATGAGTATCGATTGGACGTCAATGAGACTATCAAATTGACCGGAAAGGTGTCCACAAGACTAGCAACTTGATGTCTATACATATAGATGTATATATATATATATATATATATATATATATATATATATATATATATATACATATACATTAAGTATCTGTAATATAAGACGACCAACACCAAGAGCTACCTGTCAATTTAGCTTCATTATAACGGCATGATGCTCGTTTCTGTAGGCACTGTGATGGTTAATTAAACAGTTCACTGGTTCAGTTTTATTTTCACTTGAATATTTTTCATCATTGTTGCGTCGTCATGTGACGACAAGGTAAAACCGTTACATTAGTTTTTGATTAAATACGGAATCCATGACAACATGAACTATTGAGAGAGCTGAGAGAACCCAGCAGGAATTACGAGCATTGAGGAGCTGTACATCAATAGTTCAAAGCCCCAAGTCAGCGGATCCCAATAAATAATGGGGCGGTGAAGTGCCATCCGAAAGGTCAGCGACGAGCTATGTATCCTATGATAGCATGTGTTTTCAGTGTTCCTTGGTTTGCATTATCTTAGGTTCCCGTGGCAACAAGCATTTCATTTAAGCACCCGATTTCGATTCCTTGAAGGAATACCGATTGCTGAGAATTCTTTGAAATGGACCATCTGCTGGCATTCTGCACGACATGAAGGGTCGGCATTGCTCATTTCGGGCTTTGTGCATCATTCATGGGTGTTCTGTAATGATAACATCAATCGTCGTCATTGTGAAAATACGATGGACTTCACTAGCTAATTGCATTTCTGGTTCGATGAATGAGTGATACAATCAGTGTTTGACGTGATTGGGATGCGCTACTTTTCGTTCTGGAGACATGGGGGACGCATTAACACAGCTGTCTATCGCATGCCAACGAAAACAAGGGACTGTACAGAAATGCAAAAATTATATCAATCAGGATTCATAAGCATGCTTTTTATAGCACTTTTCACCTTTGCTGTGATCAGGTTTTCGTTCTCACCATTTGTCAACTACCGACACTCGTAAGCATATGTTGCGAAAAACGAGTTTGCATACAATACATTTCAAGGGTTCATTCCAACATTTTAAACATTCACTGTTTGCACTGGAAATGGTCAGTTCCGGAAGTGTCACATGCTCAACATCAGTACGCAAAAGCTCCGAGAGTAAAGGGCTTGTTATGAAGGATATGTTCACATCTGCTAACGGGTGTAATGGTGTAGGTATATGAGGCAGAAATTTCGTAATAAAAAAAGATGTTTGTGAATAGAATAGTAAGTGTCGGGTAAGGTTTGTAATTAAAATGTTTCTGCAGTAGTAGATGTCTGCAAGGAAGGGTGCTCGTAGTGTAAAAGGTTTAGAGAGGAAAAAATTAATCTACGGAAATGTATGCAAACTCACATATTGGGAAAAGTTGGCACGCGCGAGGTTCTCGATTGGTAGGTCCGTGACGGAAGGTCTTTTGGTATAAGGCTTATGTCCGTAACCATGTTCAAGAGAGCTCAGACAACGAGCAATAATGCAATAGCCTGAAGTCATTTGCTTGCTAAACATTCACAGGGAAAATACTTGATTAATGCAAAAGTTCGGTATTCTCACTATAGGGTGTTTTCCTCTTAACGTTAATTTCAAAGTGCAAGTAAAGGCACTAAATAGTCCAGGCCGCGCTTCATATACAGTGCTGTTGGAAATTGACAGATATTTTCATAAGCGTCTCACGTAATCGTTTATGGTCCGGGAACTAGAGAGGCAGGCCTCCGTCTCTCCACATTCAGTGGCTTAATGCTCCATGTGCAACACATTGGCAGCTGTATAAGGTGTGGGTCATTTTAAAATTTGGATACGTGCGTTCGTGTTCAGGGTACTGTTGCATGAGCATTTACCATATGAACAAACATGTCCATATTTTGGAAAATCGGTCAATAAGAGAATAGATTAAATATTATGTTATACACATCGTAGCGTTTCAATTGGTAATTCAAGTGAACACCCTAAAATAGTGGCATCTCACTTCGTCTCATTATTCCCGTTGTATAAGTAATATTTTCAAACTTCATGCCACAGAAAGACGGGATCGCATGCACCTATTTTACATGAGCCAAATGCCATAATAGACTACAAAGATATTCGTTGAACTCAAACCATTTTTTGACACATTGCTCGGAAGCAGAGAATCTGATATATTTAGAACATTAACTTTCACCCGGTCAACAGAGCACCGGTGGTGAAACGTTCAAGATGCAATCCGTGTTGATGGGCCTAGCGGTAGCCGTATTTTCCGTCGGATCTATATCAGCGGCAGGTGAGCAAGCTGGGTGTTGCTTTGTCTCAACCAGCCGCAAGAGCCTTTAGAGTAATTCCGGTTGTGGCATTACCGCCGTTCGTAACCGCACGGAATCGTTGAAAGAAGTCGTATCCAAGTGTATTCAATACTTGCATTCGCAGCGGTGTTGCCTCATGTTCTGCTCAAATCTCATGATAACTGTCGCCACGGGCTATTGCTGGCAGCACTGAGATAGGCCAGACTGTGACTGCCCGGTTCAGGCCTATTCTTAGCCTACGCAGATGGGCAGGCGATCGTGAGTCGTGTTTGGCGCGCGTATGACACCTGATCCCTACCTCGCCTGGCGAACCTGACGTTACTGCCCAGCCCCAGGTCAGGATGAGACGGCCAAGGCAAACGCATCAAATGTCGACAAGGAGCCAGCCTGGGACTACACTGGAAAGGACACAAGTGAGTAAGCAAACTCAAGCTGAGTCGTAAAAAGGCTTATTGGCTGTACGTTGACTGTCGCAAAAGAGTCTGCGTAATTAATCAAACCTGATTTGGGCGCAGATAATGTCATTCATTGACTCAACCAGTATACAAGGAACAGTTTTAAAATGATCATTGCAAGTGTGCTTAAACTTTGCACCGAATGCTGTGGCTTTATGGCTGAACCGCCGTAGTAGTCTGCTTTAGGAGGGCAAGTCGGGCGAGTGACTTCAGTCAGTAGTAGTCTGCTTTAGAAGGGCAAGTCGGGCAAGTAGCTTTAGTCAGTAAGTTTTGGCGCATCACTGGCGAGTTTCCAATAGAACGGTCCAGCTGGTCTCTCCTCTCTCAACCGGCCTCAGGGGATCTAGACGGCTCCGTGCAGCAAACGTTCCAGTCATTATTGCACTAGATACCATGCATTTCGTTTGATCGCCCCCATTTACCGGTTTACCTAACTAATAATCCACTGTATTAACATCGATTAATCTCAGGTTTTTCCGTAAGCTCTTGCCTCTTATCCACGAGTATTTTGCGGTCCGTTCAGTGCTGCTACACTGTTGAGCACAGCAGCCTTTAAAACCTTGGCTTCAAATGGCGAACCAATAAATGCATTTAACAAAAGACTGGTAAATACGCTGATCGTATGGCGATTAACTCTTCCGTAGCACACACTGATGCAAAAACTTGAGCGTGCATCAAACGTACCGAGATCGCGCTATTAGCATTAGTATGCTTAAGTGCTATGAGTGCTGAGCAATGATTGAGGTATAATCGGTTTGTCCTTTCGGAATTGTTTTCTCTGAAGTGCTACAGAGACGTAGGTTTCACTTTGCTGCTGCGTTTTTCATGGTCACGAAGGACATGGGATTAAGCAGCAGCTGGCTTGCTTCTTCCAGGAAGAAGTCGCACCGCGGTGGTGCAGTGACGTCATCAGTCTATGTAAGCGACTTAGTGAAATTGATGGTCGACCAGGAGAGCTGATATTTGAAGATCTGCGTCACAGCGCAAGTTCACAATTGGCTTTGCTATCCCGCCCACTGTCCTTAACATGCGCCCGGGCGACCGGCGAGATGTCCTTCGCTCGGTGGGTCAATTTGACCCCTGAGATCTCAGGAACTAAGAAAGCTAGAGACATCAAATTTACAGGATGCATTGACCTGCACGCGAACTTACAAAGGTCAAAGTTTAAGGTTCCTAAGCCATGACCTTTGGATCAAATAAAGTCAAACAAGGCCAAATTCCAGATTGGTCTCTAAAGTGTCCCCAGAACCTGCATAACTGTTTTTGAGCAAAAAGTCACTTGCTCATTTAATGTCAGTGACCTTTTTTGAGCTTTGGAAGGTCATGATGACCAAAACCATGCAAGACTGCTCGTAGTTTTGCAGTTGAATAAGCGATATAAATTACGCTTGGCAGTATGCTTTCAAAAAACAGTTCGCCCGGGTAACTTTAGGTCACTGACCCATTCTGACCACTAAGGCGTCAATGGAAAATGTATAATGCGGTTCCTGTTATCAATGAATTCGAAATGAGCACTGACAAACTATTTCGCACTAGCAAGCCCTAGAATAATAAAACAGGTTGGTTTGACCTTGGTGTGGCCTTCATACCTGACCTTAGTTCAACGTAATGTGCTCATTCTATATTTGTGGTGCCTAAGAAAGCATCTCAGAGATGCATTACTTCGTCTAACACTCTCTTGTTGCATCAGATTGAACGACTCCCTAGAAATTTACTTCGCTGATGCCATGGCCCGGCTTTGACCTGTCGTAGGTCAGTGACTTTACTGGGTACATCTAATTTTTTCCATTTCAAACGATCCGCTGTTGAATTTTCTATAGCTGTGAAAAATTTGGCGCGGCTATGCCGCGCCGTTCGGAAACCATTCTGGAAAACCTTCGGGGGGAGGTCAATTTGACCCGCCACCCGAGCGAGTGTCAGGGCAGCAGCGAGTGTCGAAGTTCGGTGGGAAAAAAGCTGCACGAGAGGCAGAGGGGTGTAGACGTGAAGGAGAGGAATAAAGCATGACAGAGAGGGAAGAGAAAGGTTAAGAGAGGAAGCAAGTAGTAGGCAAAGCGAGAGAGAGTGAATGATTGTCTGGCACCTGTAGCTGGGTGACCGCGTGAGTGGAGAATGGCATGGTGAGTGGGGGTAGGAGCACAATAGCAGTAAGTGTACAAATAAGAGTAGTAATCTAGTGAGAGTGAGAATCTAAATAAGAACAAAAGAAAGATCAAAAGGGCGAGGATGGGACTGAGGGAGTGCCATAGTGAAAACCAGAGCAAAAGCGCGAATAGCAGTAAAATTCAGTGAATGGACGAATGATAGAGCGGGTGAGTGCGATTCAAGGGACTGATCAACATTTCTTTGGGGCTTTGAATTGAAATAGCCATTTCATAAAAGCTCCCTGCAGCTCACAACCATGTCCTTTTTAAGGCTTCAAATCTCCTTGGTTCCGAGGTTGATGCACACGAACTTATGCAGCCTTTTACGCTCTGGCTATGGGTCCGTCGCTCAGGTACGCATAATGTCATGGAGTCCTCACGCGCACATGCCACCTCATTGGCTGCATTGCGCTCATGTCCAAGAAAAATACGACCATCTGAACAGTCGTGTTTCCGATGATGGAGCACCAGGTGTCCTAACGATGAAAGGTAACTGGCTAACAGTCAGATTAAGCTGATTTCAATTGGTTCTCCGGCATTATGCATGAAAATATCACAGACAAGCTTAAATGTACATGCTACTTTGCCTGCAAAGGGCAATTTCGTCTTGCTGGTTGAGCTTCTACCTATGTATAGACGCTAGTAACTAAATGCGCTATCCTGTAGTACCAGCGGATTTTTTTCAGGATCTGAAATGCCCATTTTTACACCAGAATATGCAAAAAAGGATCAGTAGTTAACAATGTTAACCCTTACTCTGATTTGCTGGTTTCGGTAACGCAGAATGATGGAAGGAAGTGGCGGCCTACTGCTGTTTGCAAAGTAAGAAATGTATAGCCTCACAAAAAACAGTTAATTGCTTTTAACGGGATCTCGCGTTTGGTAAAAATTCCACGACACAAAGTCTAAGGTCGAATTTTCCCGAAAATAAAACTGTTTTAGCTTTTCATGCTCATATGTATGACGTCATGCAGCGAAGGGACATGGAACATGTGGAGGTGCATTCCTTGTTTAATTATGAGTATATTAGCACGCAGTTGCATCTGTTTTGAGCCCAGATCTATAATGCAGGGTTTCGTTCATGCAGCGGTGCTAGCCCTTCGCGCGCAACCCGCGGAATCGTTACTTGCCGTCTGTCGCCCCTGCCGGCCGTAGATCGTCTCGCAGGTGCCCGCAAAAAACCGTGGCTCCTCCAGAGTCAGAAGCACTAAGTGAACGCATTTGGTGTCAACAAAGGCCCAATGAAAGCCACAGAGGCTTTCAAGAATCCGAACGTGACTGCACAGTATGCCGGAGAGGTATTCTCAGAAAACCTTAGGATGGGGGTATCGCATCGTCTCTCCCCCCCCCCCCCCCCCCCTCCTCTGTCAGAGCAAGTATGCTGTTCAAAAAGAACTAGCGCCCTGATATGAAACTGTTGACAAAATTCAATGCACTTCACTTGTTGGGACACGGCGAAAGGCGCCCACCAGGCAACACATGTCGCGTCAGGCTTGGAACATGCCTAAGGTGTGGTGGAAGGTCGCTCTCGAAGTGTACACCTGATTTTCATTGGGGGACACCGCTATCATCTCGAGTTCTGACATGCATTCAGTTGTTCTGGCTATTGAGGTCCTTCGCTGTTTTTCGAAGCTGAGGAAAGTAAAGCCAGCCCAAGATCGAGTTCATACGTAAGGCCCAGGCAAGTCCCGAGTGTGGAATAAGACCATTGGTGTGATTGAGCTATCCCATAGTTAAGGACAGGTGTGCCGCTTTCCTAGCAGCAGCAGTTATTCATGTTGTGTGTTATCATTAGTTGAATGGCCTCGCATAAGTGAGCGTTTCGGTTGTGTGCGTGTTATTTTAAACTGCTGCGATGAAGCAGGCTTTTGGTTATAGGCTGATTTTCGATGGTGCTACAGGGCATGGTATTCATTACTATTTTATGTCATATGGTATCATGTTACGCTGCTGGCGACAGTTTTACCTGCAGGAATTCCGGCGGAGACAAAAAAAACTTTTATCCCCCCTGGTGTAATTTCAGTTTTTCGCTGAATGTTAGATGATCCATTGTTGAACAGCTTGAGCTGTAGGCAGCGACGTTGAATTAATTTTGTCGGGCTCCGTGCGGCTGATCACCCGACGGCGGCGGCCTTGCCTGGAGTTATTTACGATTGAGTTATTTCCAAATCAGTGGCATTGCCCGGGCCTCAAGTGCTCAGATTGTGTAATAAGTGCAAATGAAATCAACAGCAAGTTAATGGTTATATTTGAGACATCTAAAACAAGCCGAAATGAACGGCGAGCGTTCGGTCTTGAGCCAACTACGGGCTGTGCAGTCTCGTTGTGGTGCAGATGGCTTGAGGCTGAAAGTCCGCTGTTCAATTTGGTTTGTTCAGGTGTCTAAAACGTAATTATTGGCGAGCACTTGATCATATTTTCTTCTTATTACAATGTCTACAATTATGCCAGAGACCCCCTATATACCAAGACTGCTCAAATTGTGTACAGCTCCATGAACTCTGAGTTTGGGCATCCAAAGAAAAATTATTATGAATGTTCATGCTTCGAGAGCGACAATTGCAGCATTTTAGGGTTGCAATAGTCACAATGTCTCCACACCACAACCAAACCGCCTAGTACTGTCGGTTAGGTGCGAGCCTAACTGAATAACGGCAGGTAGAAAAACGTGAGATATTTCACAAAGTGAACAATTTTCTAAACTGCTTTGACAGGAATGACAACAGCGGATACTTGCACCCCGGCAACGTGATGCATTACATTTTCCCTCCAGATTTATGACACCTAAATTACTTATGCATAGCTTGAGTCACACTCATAACACAGTTCAAATTTCAGTTTATGTAGCACTCCTTCAAAAATATCAAAACACACTGGAGCATTAAAAACGGGCTCCTTCCACTTTCATAAAAAATTGTACAAAAAATATCGAATTTCTCCATGGTCACCACAAAAGCTTTCACACCAAAGCCTTTTACGGGACCCATAGCGGGTCAAAGCCGCCAGTATCGATATCAATAGGAATCTGAGTCTGTTGCCGACGCGACTAACCCATATCGAGAAGTCTCTTGATGCAATGCTGGCACCGCTCTTAGGTCAGTGGCAGAGGCCGATATGCATGTGTATCAATGAGTAAATGTATTTGCAGATGCAGATGATATATTTGGTGTAGTCCTTGCGCTGTGCATAACGATTAAGCGTAATACGACTGAATATAAGCACAGCAGCGCGCATATTATCCATCGACGACAAGGCATCATTTTCTTGAGAACCTGTCAGGCAGCCAACCTTAACCAAAGTGTAATTTTGCCCGTATCCCACCAACAGTATGGTGCTTCAAGAAATGAACAGAAGGGAAAGCAAACAAAAACGTCGCGAGCTGGCTTTGAACTCAGTGAAGAAAAATCTCAGCAGACTCCCATTTACCTGACGCTTTTTTGGTAAAATCATCTTAATTTTGTCTAAGAACAACTTCAGATCAGCTCGATTAATGTTGGGAAGGGGCACCACCCCAGCAGTCTTAATTTTTTTGGCGGGATAGGCAAAAGTCCAGCCTAACCCATCCCCAACCTCTTCGACGCCCATGGCGGGATATGTAGGCATTTACGAGCTGGCAGGGCGTGGTTTAATCATGCACAAACTGACAATGTTACCTGTATTTGCAGATCCCTATGTCTGGGCAGATATGGGATTCAAGCAGTGCGGTGGAGAGCAGCAGTCACCGATAGACATATCCACCGCTGAAGCCCACGACTGGATTGTGGATCCCCTGCGTTTCGAAGGGTTTACAACGAAATCGTCATCCATGAGAATGAAGAACAACGGCTACACTGGTGAGATCACGGTCAATATTTTCCGCAAACGCGTGCGTATATGACGAAGGCAAATAACGTTATTGAAGACTGCACCCAAACTTGTACTGGAGCAACGTTGTATCGTTTAATCTCAGTAAATTTAAGCATAAGAACTGAACCCGTGATTTAAAAAATGAAGCTGAAACCGAACTTGAGGCAATCAGCCCACAAAATGGGTATTTTCATTCCGTCATTTGTATCAAACCTTACTGCAGAAGGGGTGCAGTTTCTCGGCAGCTGAGTGTATTCAATTAGGCCAACCTCCGATGAAAAACTATTCCAGGCCATCCTTGACCAAGCCATACGGCTGTCAGCATGATAACTGATCTTACTACAGGTCGAGCCCTGTAAGGGTATATTGGCAGGCCATGTATAAACAGTAACGTGCATTTATGCATATTGCCCACTAAGCGTGACATGTTTCCACGGTATCGATTACTGGTGATAGCGAGCGTTCGTGAAAAGGAGCATAGCATAAAGCGACTATAACTTTGTTTGAATTTAGGCCATTGCTTTGGATGATGTGTGCTTGAATGGGTTTATTGCCAAAATATTGGGTTTAAACTTCCTCTCCCTCCTTAAGCACGTTGTATTCAACCAGCCACCCAGGCGAGCACGACGTGTTGTACCTGGTGATTTCCAAAGAGTATCACATGGTTATGTATATAGCTTAAAATAGGCAGACCTAAAGGGTGTTTCATTTAAAACGTCAATTCTTAAAAGATTGCAATGTGGATAAAAATACTCATTAGCATATTTCTTCATATCACAGTTAATTGAACAGTTAGACACTTTTGTTTTATAGTCCACGTTCATCTGCCTGGTCAAACACCTCTCCACGACAACCCCTTGAATGTGAACGCGCTTCTTCAAATTCTAAAATGACCCACACCTTTAAGCGTCTCACACTTGGCGTGCTCAGCCGCTGAGCGTGAGGTCAAAAACCTGTATCTCTAGTTTCCAGGCTGCAATAATTGCATGAAAGTACGCCAATCCAAATGTCGGGCAATTGTCCACAATACTCGTTAAATGGCGCGCTATTGGCTTATTTTTAGTGAATTTTATTTGCACATTTAACGTTAACCTTTCAATTGTAATGCCATGGACTTAAGCACTTATTGTTTTTTATGAAAAATGGATTTAACTTTTTGTAAGCAATGTTTTGCCTCATCTACTCATGGACCTGTTGGGCTTGACAAGGCATGGTGCGCGGGTTTACTTGACTTTTTTAGCACCCCTACCTGGGCTCAAGATGCACCTTTAAGACCGCTCTCATGTTTTGTTCATTAGGGTGCTACTGTACATCACTGGGGTAAAAGAGTACCTCAAAGTAGTTGGGGTGCTCCTCTGCCTACATTCTTTGCGGTGTGTTCATTTAAACTTGGCGGCACACTTCCACGCATGCCTGGGCGCTTCTCTACCCGTGTTTAAAGACATAACTTTGTCTTTGCTTTTACGAGCACTTCTAACTGGATTTAGAGGAGCCTTTCAAGGCAAAGGGATGGATAATTTTGTTGCACTGGCCTGCACGAAAAACTGAATAAGCCTCATCAATGAGGACAGCAGATTTAGGAAGAGCTTTAAAACTTTCAAGATATGCGCAGTTAAATTTTGCATCACGCGGCTTTCAGAAAGTTAAAGCTGGTCACAAAGCTCAAAGTTTGACCCTCCTTGACCTTGGTTGACCTGCCTTTGAAAAGGTCTCCAAAGCCGCCAAGCAATAATAGATATAGATAAAGACTGCAATGCCTCCGAGGTACATTTCCCTCTTAAATAAGCGTGATTTGTCACTTGCGAGGAAATTGTATGAACATGATATCTACAAAGAGACAACAATGAGGAATAAAATTTCAGATCTGAGATTTCCGCAGGATGTATAAGAGTGATGCAGACTCTGCTGCCGGGAGTGTTCAAAATTGTTCGGTAATTTTCCCGCAAAATTGCAGGGTCACTGAGCCTTCATCCTCGTCGAGCGAGGTTAAGAGGTCTTGCCGTTCAGGCTCAGGGGCGTCCGTTCCCCTGAGCCCAGGTATGCCTTTCTATTTCTGTTGTGTGATGTTGTATCCATGGTTTGATCTTTTGACGCAGGGACACTATTGCCGAACGGAAGGTTTCCAAAATGCTCAGGCCGACTAACCTGTACGGCATTCCAGAACACTAGTTAACGCTTCTGCCCCCTTCCTCGAACGACGGATCCCGGAAAGGCATTTTTCGTGGCGACCCCCTCCTCAGTACTGGACGATGTAATCATGGCCATTGCGCCAGGAAGGTTTGCTTATCCTGCCACTTGTGTTGCCTTCAAAAAAGATCGTCGTAAAATCTGTCTGCCTCGCAATCCGTGCTGTCTTCCAATGGCCCAGGTGGTTGCTTAGCCATCCAACCTAACTGAGACGCAAACTCGCTCGCGCAAATACCTGAGAAAAAAAGACGCCAGCAGCCGATGCACAGAGGAATTGTAAGCTTCTGTGACACGTTTCTGGTTCTGGTTCCTGCAGTGCGCGTCGAAATGTCATTCGCCAATGGGGTGAAACAGCGAATGTACGGCGGGACGCTGCCCGGCGTGTACGTGTTTAAACAGCTGCACTTCCACTGGGGTCCGAACAACACTGTAGGCGGGTCTGAGCACACCATTGACGGCAAACGGTAAGCAAGGCGGCGGCAGTTGACGGCGATGAAAACAGAACGATCTTTTGACGGGAATTATCAAACTCAGCACGAAGCAACCGCCACATTTAAGTGAGAGCCGCAGGTAGGGTTCACTGTGCAGTATGCGGCTTTCAGCGTCCTATCTTGTCATAGCATTATTTGTTTTGCCTTTCTGTTCTTGACAAAGAAATGGTATGTTAACATGACTGCAATGTGCGTGCTTGCCCGTGTGCCATTGTGCAGTAAATTTACACGTCTACGTATGCACATGCACGCACAATTTCCTGTAGTCGGAGTTCGCCACTCCGTTTATAGGTCTCCACCGGACATGGGTTTGGTGACAGGTGAGTTCGGTCCAGGTGGGACGGTTGCCCTCTATGACGGCTGTCAAACCGAGATATCGATGTCTTTGGCAGAGCTCCGTTGGAGATGCACGTCGTGTACGTGAACGAGAAGTACGGGACGGTTTCTGAAGCGACCAAACATCCTGGCGGCATTGCCGTGCTGGGCGTTCTATTCGAGGTACGGATCAGGCGGTTAGAACAACCTGTTAATCTTCGTCGGCTTCGGTGGTTCCGTGACGTGGCCAGAGTAGGGTGACTAGTTATAGCCCGTGAGGAAGCGGCCGAATGGTTGGAATGACCCCTTCCTGTTTCACACTTGATACATCACGGAAACGTAAAGCATCGGAATGTCTCAAATATTGTGCCACATTTGCATAAGGTGTGCTGATATATCGAGCTTGGGTAATTTCTCAGGTCTGGTCAGACGTCCCAAAGAGTAGGTAAGGTACTAAAACAGCTGGCCCTGGCTCCGGCTTCAGCCTTTATTTCTTAGGCAACGCTTATACACCGCGGTTTCAAGTGTGCACTGAACGTCGTCGCGCTCCGGTTTGTATACCATATCCAGAAATGTGGTGTGAAGCATTTCCATCACTTGGCTGTGATCAAACAGCAATACCTTACACATGCTAGGGGGTAAAGTGGTCAGTGTCTTGCATCTCAAAAAAGATATAAAATGTCTCCTCATCAACGCCGCTTTTACTGTCGGTGGTTTAAAACCAATACCTCATTCGGAAATGAGCAACACCACTGTGAAATGTTCCAAACAATTTAATAACGGCTAGAAAATAATGCGCATTGTAATGCCATCAACGCAACGATTTGTCACAACATGGCCAATGTACTTACTGTCCCACAAGGTTTTTTACAAGTGATATGAAATCCGAACACGCGCTGGCTTGCAGCTCCGCTTCATTTATCACCTTTAATGACCGTGCTCATTTCCCGTACCATCTAATCTTTTTTCAAGTGTTCATGTTTTGCTGGCATATCAGTGGGTGAGACCGAATGGAGCTTACCACCTTTACACCTCGATCACACCACAAATCGCAACGCGCTAATGGTAACAGCTTCCCATGATAAGCCCCCATCTGTTAGCTCATTGCGGTTGATTCTGTGCCAGTATATACAAAATAAGCTTCTTGCAAGATTTGCGTCATCCATTGGGGTAAGGATATCACTTCCCAATATGTTGACCTGCTTGCAAGCACACGACATGGGGTACCAACTGTGAATGCATCCACGTCAAGTCGAGTACGCTGCTTGAAACTTTCATTCTGCTTGCGTGAGATTGTTTGTGTCAATGCACTGTACAAGACTTTCACGTTGTGTTCCTTTTCGTTTCCGGCTGGAAACGAACGATTGATATGTGCTGATGTCGTATTCCCATGACCTCTCCTCGATGAGAATCTCATAAGTACATCTGTGTGTGGGTGTCAATTTGTATACTTCTGGAGGGCACCGTTGCTTGCCCGTAGTATTTTTTTTTAACGTTAGGCCAATATGACGCGTAAAACTGCCTCACAAACCACCGGAATATAGAAATAGGTGGCAGCCAATTGATTTTAGACACCCAGACCGCCTCGGCTGCCGGATGATCTTAGACACCCAGCCGGCCTCAGCTGCCGGACGATCTTAGACACCCAGACTGCCTCGGCTGCCGGACGATCTTAGACACTCAGCCGGCCTCGGCAGCCTAGCGATGTAAGGCAGCCAAACCATCTTAGACATCTAAACAACCTCAGCAGCCAGGTGATCTTACACACCCAGGCGTCCTCCGCAGCAAGGTAATTTTAGACAGCTGGGCGATCTTAGGCAGCCACGCGATCTTAGGCAGGCACGCGACCATACTTGTGCGGTGCTTCAGCAGCCAGGTAATGGAAGCAACCAGGCGGCTTTGGTAGTCAGTTGTTATTAGGCAACAGAGGGCCTTGGTGGTCGGGCAATATCAGGCAGCCAGGTGATCTCCAGCAGCCAGAAGCCTCGGTGGTCGGACAATGCCAGGCGGTTCACCTAACCAGGGCCTTTACGTGTGGAAAGCAAATCAACTTCGGTAAATATTCCGGTTCTTCAGAAGTTGCTCACCAAGGCGTGTCGGTTAGAATAAGCTTCCTTTTGGCCTCTAAGTTCATAGGGCGCGAATCGGAAGTGCGTAGTTTTGCACTTTCGTGTTAGGTAATTTAGCCCAGATGGGTGTGCACGCAACCATGTTGCCATGCAGCCAAAAGCAAACTGGCGCATCTAAGAAGTTGTTCATGGTGTTTTCCTTTGAAATTAATGTTTATTTGATTCTACTATGTATAATTTATGTGTATATTTTATATCAATATTTATAATTAAATATGATGCCATGTTGCGAATAGAGAGATGAACTTTACACACTAAAAAAGTTTACTTATTTGCTGCTGAAGACTTGTAGGCTGGTGGATCTGAAGAGGTCTGGTCGGGGGCGGATATTTTCGGCGTTCGCTGTCGTCAAGTGGGTAGAGAGGGAAGAGAAGAGCAGGAAAACGGAGACGACGCAACTTCTCTACATCTGCCCCTGCCGCCATTGGACTGACAGCACAGGCTGACATTACTGACAGACCAGCGCCGCAGAAGCAAGTGCAGCGTAGTTGTGTTAGTTCCCTTTCCCCCATTCTCCATCCCCTTTCTACCCACCTGATAATGGCGAGCGCCGAAAATTCGTTTCCCAACTAGGCCTCCTCTATTATCCCCCCATCCACCAGCCTAGAAGCCTCCATCATCAAATAGGTCAGAGCATTTAGAGCTTAAAGGTCCTATATCTACTCGCAAATACAATGTTCGACACCACTGTAGCGATCCGGGAACCAGGGTAACATCTTGTGTGAGATAACTAGTCGATGCGTCTTTATTTGAAGTAGGGCTTATTTCCGCCGAAGCACAATGTGACGAGGCTAACTTTTTTTTTCTCCAACAGATCTTTCCAGTATCCAGCCATCCGCTCGTCAGCTTTATGACCCGGTTCGGTAGACGCCTGCAGCGGTTCGATCGCCCGGTGGTAACCGTCAAAAAACCACTGTCCATCCAGTCGATACTACCCAAGGCGTTAGGCAACTACTACACGTACACGGGGTCATTGACCACGCCCGGCTGTCAAGAGGGAGTCATTTGGATCGTGTTCGAGGAACACTTCAAGATTTCCAACCGTGAGGTAAGGTGGATAATGGGCAGCTGGAATCGGGTAATCCCGAATCAGTGAACCGATCAGTGTGGAAATGGTATAATTTCAACACAGTGCACGCACACTCATGATTTATTTTCTGAAAAACTGATTAAGAGGCATGTATGTTGTCAGCGTTGACGACGAGCTTGCAAAAGTTACCAGACAGCGAGCTTGCCGTTTCATCTGCCAACCTGAAATTGGTGATCTAAGATTATTGTCTAAGCTTCTCCACATTTGTCTTCAAATATTTATTCTGCAACGTTTGATTGCATGGATTACTACAGCGCACGCCTAGCATCTTTTATTGCCTGAGTCCTGACTTCACCATCCGATCGTAAAACTTCGATTGGCAGAATATTGCGACGAAAACTTAACGTTCTGTAATGCTTAGCACGGTCCACCCTGTCCACTGACGTCACCAGATGTTTAGTGTGGCTGCTACCACCGACCGCAGGCCATCCCAGGCGGGTGCAAAAAGCGCCTCTAACTCACCCCTCTATGGATGTACGCACCGTAATGTTGCGCTCCAACTGAAGTACTGGAACGTGCATGAACGATGCAAAAACGGCTTTTCGGGGAATGACTTGAATAGTGTAGACAAATAGGGTGTCAGCCTTTTTTGGCGCTTATCAAGAGCTTCGATGGTATAACATTCGCATCGGCTCAGAAACATCGAGATAGTTTAGACTCACCTTGGTAACATAGATTTAGCCATCATATTTACCATAACACTTCACATAAACCACTAAGGGGTGAATATAGCCAACTCTGAGTTTAGAAATTGCCTACATTTTTGTCCCCATTACCGGCAAGCAGAGCACATATTATTGTAGTTGTTGGGATGCCGGTGTTCGGATGCAGGGAATGCCGCACGGGGGCTGTGCCGTAAGTCGGGCTTTCACGCGCTCTATACGAGGCGGTGGCGGCGATATTTCGGGTAGTGTGACTTCAACGCGGCGCAGACGCTAGCCGTGGGGCCTAAAGCTGCGGAGCAGCCGGGACATACGTAATATTCGTACAGATGATGAATAGCCTGTTGGCGGCATTGCATATGGCCAATAAGTCGATTGCGTAGATTTGATGGCGAGCATGGTGGTGTAATTTGCAAGCTTATGCCCTGACCGTTGAAATGCAATTGCATGAAGAGTAAAATACGTCCAGATGAGAGCTTTACAAGATGGCATGGCCAAAACATCAAGCTCTCTTCGTATCGATAATGAGAAAGCTGTCAGTAGCAGGTACATACAACCAGCGAGCCAATCACGTAGAGTTTAACGTCGAATATTAAAGTGTGTTTGGCAAGCTTGAACGGCGAACCTTTGCAATAAAATCGGCGCGGAAATTGAACACACTTATGCCCCAGTTGCTGCAGAGATGAGCTGCCACGGCATCGGGCTGTCTTCTTACGGATACTGAACAAACTGCTGAGAATAGGCTCATTTAATCGGGAGTATGGTGATGCGTCAATTGCAAGCTTATATGCTAAGTGGGTAAATGCAATCAGCGTGAAAAACAAATGCGTTCACGCGTAGCTGTTGAAGATAACCAGCCTCAACATCGAGCTGCCTTCTTATCAGCAAGGTGTTAAGTTTCACCTAGGTTTTTACTGGTAGATGCATATATTAGCGAATTAATTGGGTGGAACTAAATGACGAGCAAGACCATGTTCTCTGCGAGCTTATATTTACAAACCATCAAGATTCAGTTTGTATGGGAAGTAGATAGCCTACGCGAGGGCACAGGTATTAGGGAGAGGATGAGCTCTCCAACTTTCTGAAAGCTTAGCATTCGCCACATGGCCATTGACTGGAAATTATTATCATTATCATGCCAAGTGTGCCGCGTACCAAATGATAGAACTGTTGTAATGCAACGATTGTTCATCTCCTCGTCTCTTGAGCTGTGTGCCTAGTCTAAGTAACTTCGCATGGAGTTCACCCTGCTATTCCATTTTGCTGCAATTCTTCGATGTTTGGCCTTTCAGCTTGAGTTTGTACTACATTTTTTTTTTAATGCAACCGCCGCATTACTGTCTGTAATGCAACGGTTGTTTATGTCCTCTTTTCCTGAGCTGCATTCTCAGTCTAAGAAACTTTGCTTAATCTTCACTCTGCTTTTCCATATTACTGTAACTCTTCTATGCTTCACGTTTCAGCTCGAGTTCTTCCGAAACGTGGAAGGACAACGCGGCCTCCTGACAACCAACTTCCGTCCGGTTCAGAAGACTAACGGGCGTTTAGTTTCCCACGTGTCTTCGGCACATGCGGGGGCGCAGATCTATGCAGAGTCTCCTAGCGGTAAAACGGCAACGATCTTTTAACTTTCCACTGGATACCGTGTTGCACGGATTACTAATGAAAAGTAAATTTTGTCCAACCACCCTCATTCATTTGCAAATGCTATCTCAGAATATCTAATTCAGTTTACTGAGGCCAGTGCAGATATTAGCACATAAGTCGTGTACATAACATAAATGAAATGCCTATACCGCTTGAGGTACATTTTTCCTCTCACGTTTTGGTTGATAAAGTCTCATATCTTTGGCCATGACCACGCGCAGCACGACAATGCACGCCGCGTTGTTCAGATTGACCACATAACTTTTCTCTGGAGATGATAATCGACTGGGGCATTCCTTGTCATGAGTTCGGGATTGGAATGTCCCTCAAGATCTGCAATGCAGGTGCCAGACTGCATGTCATGTAGCAAAAAATAAAAGAAGAAAAATCGTCGGCTCTCCCAGCCCTGGTGTAGCTTTAGCGGTTTTGCCAACCTCGGCAACGTAGTGGTAGGGGATAGTTGTAACGTATCATCACTCATTGTGACAGCACGATACCCAATGTACAAGGCCAGAAATGCAAAACAGCAGGCGTTATAGCAGTTACGATTTTAACGTGGCTGTCTCCATGTGCATGTAGCTGCTCTATGGCCACCTGCAAGCTACCAACACGTCATGTGTTTGCCATTATAACACGTCATGTGCGCGTTGCTTCCGTACAAAATTGTTAAAATAAAGTGTTCAAAAGCGGTTAGTGTGCACTCGTAAGCGTGGCGTCATGCTGGGGCCAAAGCTTGTATAAAATGAATCCTATAGATATCCATATATGTTAGTCGTGCTTTTTTTCTCCTACAAAAAGCTGTTGTAATAAACACAGTACAGGCAAACCTGACGTATGTTTTTCTCCTTTCTTTACAGGCTCCAACCAGTGCGAAGGCTGTTCAAGCTGATGACACGCTTTGACAACAGATCCGACTAAAGATAGAGATTTCCGGAAACTGGTTTCTCGTGTTTCGTCAAGTCCTTGATACCTCTCCTTTCACGAAAGCGGGGGAGGTGTAATGGCTGAATGATAAGAACGTTGGAGCTCAGAGGTGGCGCTCCATAAACGGGGCGTGGCGTCGTGTGTCGTGTTCCCTTATAAAAATCGTCCACGATTTCCGGAAGCTTACTTTTTGTTTTTCGTGGTCTGCTTGGTTCTTTGCTTGTCATGAAATGCTATGTTAACCTATAATACAACAGAGATGTCCAGGCATCTCGAACTAAAGTGGAGTCTGGCATCAAACCACGGTGGCGCTTTTCATTCTACTCACGTAGTTGCAATGTCTGCGTTTAATTTAGATTAAGTGGTGGCTATGAGGTAAGTAGACAAGGTTAGTTTATCTGCATTATACATGGTACAGTGAGCGTTTATTATCATAGCCACGATGCTATCATACAAAATGCCGACGGATGTCACATCTACACATCTTCGGATTGGCTCAAATGATCGCTATCATGGGTGAAGTCGGCATCTATTTGCCGTTAATGGTTGTCACGTCTGCTGCATGACATTACTAAGATATATGATACCTTCGGAACCAAAAGAGCAACAATAGTGAGATATGTATTCAGGAAATCGGCTATTCGGTTTCCGTGTTTTTTGTTTCCTTCGCCCAATAGCGGTACGTATTACACTAACCATGCTTTCAGAGGGTGAAGGTAATTTTGCCAAACATCCAGAAGCTCTGGTTAGATTCGTTGTCACGATTGCCCAAACACAATTGCATATTTGTTGTGTTTTCATCGGCTGAAATAGCGCCTTCGGCGTTGCAGGCTCCAACATAAATTACGCTGCGATTTGGTTTAGCTTTACACAATTATACACTGACACGCGATATGTTGGCTATCCGCTGGGGCCATGACCAGATATTCGGAAAATCTCAGAAAGGGTCCCGGCGATCCGACGAGCTGTCCCCGATGCGATAAGACCACGGCCAGCGCCTATATGTGTATCTTGCGAGTATCTGGAGGAATTTGGAACCGTTACATTACATCAATAAAACATGTGCTCAGCAAGGTCCAGCTGTTCATGTTTGATTTGCACTGCAGTGGATCTCCTGAATGTGTGTTCATGGCCGCATCGGATAATGACTGTATCGCGCGTCGGTGCACAGGTCACGTGAAGCCAATACCAGATTACAACGTAATCCGGGCTGGGCACTGCGGCACCAAAGATCCCACTTCAGCCAGATAACAAATTACAAAATCGCAACGTTGTTTAGTTCTAAAAAATATGGCATTGTGTGTAGGTCATCGCCACACCATCCGACCACCACACCACCACACCACCACACCACCACACCACACCATCCGACCACCACACCACCACACCACCACCACCACACCAGCACACCAGCACACCACCACACCACCACACCAGCACACCACACCACCACACCACCACACCACCACACCACACCACCACCACACCACAACACCACCACACCACAACACCACCACACCACAACACCACCACACCACACACCACACCACCACCACACCACCACACCACACCACCACACCACCACACCACAACACCACCACCACCACACCACCACACCACCACACCACCACCACCACCACCACCACCACCACCACACCACCACCACCACCACCACCACACACACCACCACCACACCACACCACCACACCACACCACCACACCACCACACCACCACACCACACCATCCGACCACCACACCACCACACCACCACCACCACACCAGCACACCACCACACCACCACACCACCACACCAGCACACCTACCACACCACACCACCACACCGCCACACCACACCACCACCACACCACAACACCACTACACCACCACACCACCACCACCACACCACCACACCACCACACCACACCATCCGACCAGAACTACCGGTCGCGCGTCAAAACTGTTCTGCACCCTCTATTAGACACGGTCTGGTATTACACCATCTCTTCACCGAGTCGAGAATTATTTTATTACCCAGTACTAGTCGTTTCACTAAGCCCCCTGGATTTAGCCCAGAGTATGGGTCGCCACCAAGTGAAACCAAAGTATTGAGACTGAACTTCATAGCAGCGAACTCCAAACTAAGCTATAAGTGGCACCGGGTGGCGTCTGGCACCAGCTGACGCGCAGCGGCCGGTGTCTCTGGCCCAGCGCGATGGGCAAACCCACTGGAGACCCGTTAACAAAGCACGCAGTGCATGCCCGACCTCGACGAAGCTGGGAAAACCGCCCCTCCCGAGGAGCCAGCGCGGCAAACGGTTTTTTAAGTCAGCATGGCAACTGGTCCAAAACTCCAGCGGAGCCGGTCGCAGCTAAATGCCCGTTGAACGTAGTGAGCAATGCAGCGAGAGAAACACTGGTGTCATCTTACGCGATTCAACGCGATCCAACAGACAGCAGGGAACGGAGAGCAGAGACACCAACGGAGAGTGTAAAACCAGGGAAGGATGTGTGTTATACTTGAGTCGTTATGAGCGGCCTCACATTCCTTTTCGAACTTTTGGTACTCCCAACGATTCATTTGTACACAAAACAGAATTTCAACCGTGATCAGATGATGACAATTCAAAACTTTACCATGCACCTAGAGATCATCATAATACACACGCGTGCCATCACTGGCAGTCGTTGCGCGGTGACGTCAGGTATCAGCCCAGTCCTTGTCCAATACACACGCGTGCCACCAGCGGCATTTGTTGCGCGGTGACGTCAGGTATCAGCCCAGCCTTTGTCTATTCTTCCTATACAACCGCCCCGTTCGAAATTGGACCTGATTGTACTCTTGAAACAAATTGGTAGTCAGGGCCTAAATCACCCATTCAGCCTCTGTTCTGGTCACGAGATGCACACGGTGTTATTAAGTGGGCCTCAAGACTGATCATGTTTATAAATTTGTTAACTATCCCGCGTATGAGTTTTAACGTGTGCTTAATCGAAAGCCAGTTAAATTCGAAATCAAAAGGCAAGCACATAAAATCAAAAGTAATGCCCGCTGCACGTCCCGGATCACCAAAGAACCGACCAGTTTCACTACCTGCCAGTGGCCAGTGATCTCACGATCGCGGACACCATCAGCGGTGACCTGGAGCGGCCGCTGCGCGTGGCGAAGCGTAGCTCTCCAACGCATGAGGCCGATGTCTAACTTACCTACTGGCAAGTCCGACGGAGGATGAGACACGGTCAGAAGATGAGATGCGTCTATGTTTAACTTACCTAATGGCGGGTCCCACGGAGGATGAGACACGGTCAGAAGATGAGATGCGTCTATGTTTAACTCACCTAATGGCGGGTCCCACGGCGGATGAGACACAGTTAGAAGATGAGATGCGTGATGACGGTCTGGACCACAACGAAGTGTTGGATGATGAATGCCCTCATTCGGCCCGCACCTACGACAATCCTCCGCATTACTCTCGTGGACAGATCGCTCTGGTAGCTGCAGAAATACACGAACACAGAAAACTACAACCTGTGATTGTTGGCTCCGTTCCTTGCGTTGATGGCCCAGTTATGCACTTTGGTTCTTGTGTCGCAATATCATAGTGCATTTTGAAACAAGTCGTCGTGTGGTTACTTTTTCTTTGGACCGTGCAGCTGAACCTTGAAGTGTTATATGTTCTCGGCGGCCCCGGTTTGTGCGCTGAAAACGATTTGTCACCATAAAAATGAGAAATCGGCCAGTGACTTCTGGGCGAAATGTGGTTCCCCGCCATTTGATGTTAAGTTGGACTATGGTGAACAATTTTGACAAACCCTAGTGTACGCGCTGAAAATTATTTTGCTCAGACAAAACTGTTAATTGGTTTGTGAGCTGTGTGAAGTTGGGTTTTTCTTTCTTTGACCCTAAAGATAATCGATAATGAAAGGCAACAATAAGATTCGGCGTTCGCTTGCCGCCATTTGCCATGTAAGGCATTTTTATTAGAACAGGAGTTTGCCGCTGAAAGATCACTAAAACAAATGCAAACTTCATGGACGCTATATCGCACCAATTGTCAAAGCCGTGGTACACACAACTTATTTAGTGGCGACGACTCCACCGGGACCACACCGCTGCGTCGTCGCATCAGTCCAGCTGGGACCACACTGCTGCGTCGTCGCATCAGTCCAGCTGGGACCACACTGCTGCGTCGTCGCATCAGTCCAGCTGGGACCACACCGCTGCGTCGTCGCATCAGTCCAGCTGGGACCACACTGCTGCGTCGTCGCATCAGTCCAGCTGGGACCACACCGCTGCGTCGTCGCATCGGTCCAGCTGGGACCACACCGCTGCGTCGTCGCATCGGTCCAGCTGGGACCACACTGCTGCGTCGTCGCATCGGTCCGGCTGGGACCACACCGCTGCGTCGTCGCATCGGTCCAGCTGGGACCACACTGCTGCGTCGTCGCATCAGTCCAGCTGGGACCACAGTGCTGCGTCGTCGCATCAGTCCAACTGGGACCACACTGCTGCGTCGTCGCATCGGTCCAACAGGAACCACACCGCTGAGTCGTCGCATCAGTCCAACTGGAACCACACCGCTGCGTCGTCGCATCGGTAGTAAGTGCCGATGTCAGAGAACCATACTGGGGCAGGCTTAAGCTTTGCGCGAGGCAAAATTCCCGCTGAAGTATTTCATGAAAAAGCAAAAAGATAGAAGGTAACGTTTGTATTTGATGCTACCAGTGCTAACTGAACTAATTGCTGTTGTACTAATTGAACTATGTTGAACTAATAATGTTGAACTAATTGAACTAACTGAACTAACAGTCTACCATCAGCTAGGCTGACCACCTACAGTCCACCATTAGCTAGGCTGACCACCCATGGTCAACACCGCATTTTTGGTCGCCACGCGGTCAGTTCGCGCCATGCCTATGGAATGGCCATAGCGAACAAGTTCTCATTGTTTCAGCTGGCTGTTTCATCCACCACTAGCATCGTACCATGGATTGCTTTGTCAGCTGTCCAAAATTAGCAATAACCAA